TATACAACGTAAGTGGGACTGCTTCTTATATTTCTTTTTCGGTTGGTTCATTGCTTATTTAGAGAAGCCCCACCGTGTTGCATGCTACTCTCCAGCACGCTGCTGGGCTGATTTTATTAATTCTAAAGGCTTTCTCATGGAAGATTCTTTTGTATGTTCTGGGAATGCAATTGTATCACCTTCAGAGAGAGACGACTTGCTTTCCCAGGTGGAGGCCTTTTCCTCTTTCCTGCCGCCTGTCCTGGCTGCTGCACGCTTCACGGTACCCAAAGGCAGTCACAGCGGAGAGCCGCCCTCACTGGGCCTGCTCTGAGGGAAACCCTCCAACCTTTTACCACTGAATATGATATCAGTGAAGGGTTTTGTTTTGGCATAAATGTTCAGGTAATTTAGCAGGAGAATGATAGCTATTTTAGTAAGAATTATAGCAGTAGTTAGATACTCATGTTTCCCCAAATAAAAGTTAAAAATTTTGCTGACATCATCTTTAGGTGTATAAAATCATTTCAAAAATGTTTCTAAACCCAAATGCAAAGTTAAATATGTGAAACTTTGTGATAAAAACACTGAGAAAATCTTTTTTACATGTGTCCAATAAATATTTCTCAGGTAAAATTTAAAATGCACAAATGGACAATTTTGGCAAATTAGACTTATTAAAAATTAAAAGCTTTTTATTCAAAGCATCTCATGAAATAAATGAAAAAGTTAACTTGCATTTTATTTCAAGTATATAAATAATTTGTTAGCTCAACAAGCAGACACACGCCACATAAAATAGGCAAAGCTTTGGAAAGACACAGGAAACACTCAAGTGGGAAATAGAACAGGCCAAATCTGCCCAGCAGCCCTGGTCCCGGGGAAGCCCACCGTAAAGCACCACATGTGCACTAACCGACCAAGAGGAGCTGCAGACAAGGCCAGAGCTGGCCAGGGCAGCGGGGAAGCAGGCTGGCGCACCGCTTGCTGCTGAAAGTGTATGGTGGCCCGGCCACAATGGGAAGAAATGGGCAGCTGCTTAAACAGTTATGATTATACCCACCATAAAGCCAGGCCTTTTACTCCTAGGCATACCCACAAGCTTAAAATATGTGAGTCTAAGCCAGGTATGCTGGCACATAATGTACTCCCAGCCCTCTGGGAGGCTGAGGCAGGGAGGTTGCAAGTTTAAGCCCAGGCTGGGCAAATCAAGAAATTTAGCAAGACCTTATCTCAAGATAATTTAGAAAAATATTTAGGGCTGGGGATATAGCTCAGTGTGAAGGCTTTGTGTTAATTCTCAGTACCACATGATGGATAGATAGATAGATAGATAGATAGATAGAGATAGATAGATAGATAGATAGATAGATAGAATAGGATAGACATAGAGGATAGATAGAGGATAGATAGAGGATAGATGGATAGGTAGGTAGGTAGATGATAGATAGGATAGACATAGGGGATAGATATAGATAGAGGATAGATATAGATAGAGGATAGATGGATAGGTAGGTAGGTAGATGATAGATAGGATAGACATAGATAGGGGATAGATATAGATAGAGGATAGATATAGATAGAGGATAGATGGATAGGTAGGTAGGTACATGATAGATAGGATAGATATAGATAGAGGATAGATCAATAGGTAGGTAGATAGATAGATAGATAGATAGATAGATAGATAGATAGATAGATAGATAAAGTAGGACAGAAGGAAGGAAAGGAAAATACAGGTCTACAGAGACATTTGTAACCATCTGTCCATAGGAAGACTATTCATGAGAAGCACCAGAAAAGATCTCCATATTATCTCACCAATGGACACACAGAGCCGGGCCTGCGCCTGCAGCACTCCTTTACTCAACAATCAGAACATACTACTGAGACGTACAACAATATGGATGAATCTCAAAAACATTTTACTAAGAAAAAGAAGCTACATGCAAAAATGTAAATACTATTTTAAAAAATCCTAGCAACTATATGGTTTTCCTTATACAAAATTTCCAGGAAAAGCAAAATTATTAGATCACACCCACATATAGTGTTGCTAGGAGCTGGAGGAAGACGGCCCCGGAGAACAATGGACACTGGGAACTGTTTTTGAATCACAGATGTGTTCTCCAGCTGTACTCTAATCATGTTTACACAATCCAAGAATTACTAAGATTCATTCAACTGTTCATGTAAAATGGTCAGACTTCCATAAATTTTTCTTCCAGAAAGCTATTACTGGAGGAACTACCAGAGGCTCAGTGATAAGCCAATAAAGAAAAACATGTGAAAAAAGATGAATGAACTAAAAAGAAACATAAAAGTGAGAGAGGTGTCTAAGATATTAAAATGAGGTGCTACAAATAACTACAAGGATGTACATGTACATACGTATTTCTGTGTGCTCGCACTTGTTTACATGCATACACATATAAACATAATGCTCATAGACAAAGGCTTAGGACAAACTGGACCATCGCTCATGAAGAAAGTGCACAAAAGCCTAACTATTTAACTCCTGCTTTGCTTGTATCTCTCCTTTCATGGAAAGTAACTATCATTTTGAAAGTGTGGAACTAATACTGGTGGAAAAGAAGTGATTCACCCAATAGGGAAGCATATGGTCAGAGAGGCTCTAACTACTTTATTTAAATTCAATGCTTCTACACTTCGGAAATTATATTCTACATCCTACTCTGACTTCCTGCCCAATAAAAAAGGAAAAAAATAGTCGCAGATGGCTCCTAGAGAAAGAGAAAACACAGTAATAGTTTTAATGCCACAGTTCTTAAACCAGGAAGAGCAGCACATAGCGCTTTTCAGTGTTCAGGGAAAACATATTTTGGACAGCTGGTGGCCAGAGTCAAGAGCCAGGGCGAAGTGGTTCGTGGAACAACAACAGGTGGTGCTGTGGTCTTCTCACCCTCATCGCTTCTCCGCGAGGCAGGGTGTTGACCTCTGCTGTTGCGACAAGGAAAGGCAAATAGCTGTGGTGATCAAGGTGAACGCGAGAAAGGGGCTCTTCGCCTGAGCACACAGCCTGTGCATCCCTGCTCCCCTTCTACTACCTGTCCTGGGATGCGGCCTTCCTGAACGTGGGGCCCTGCTGTGGGGCACTCTAGTGAGCCAATTCTGCGGCTGAGCGCTTCTTTCTTCACACTGTCTTGTCAGTTTATTAAATGTGAACCTAACCTGGCAGCAGTAGTGGGACACAGCGGAGGAGAGGGGCATGATGCCGCCGATCACAATTTTAAAGGGACAGAAAAACTGACAGTCATCTATCTAGGGATAAAAGATTATGAATATAAAAGTTTTTAGAATTATGACAAACCAAATGCACATGGAATGTCCAAGAATATTCCTCCAGAAATGGAGGCTCAACTTCCAGGACTCAGACTGAGGCCACCTCCGAGGCTACGTGAAAAGGGGCACCAAGAAGGAAAAACAGGCACCAATATTGTCCCACAAAATCAGGGGCAGAGCTGACCGGAAACCACCACTTATGCATGCTTTCGGCGAGGCTGCCATCATCCCGTATAAATGATGAGCTGCCACTCACAATCCAAAGGAATATGCTAGAAGCTGTAATGCACACAGAGAAGCCAGATGCACAGTTCACTAATGCACAGCAATTCCTGAACTCCAGATTTGTATTTTGGCCGCATTTGTGCACAAAGCCAGGTACGAGACTCCTTTCCCAAGAGAAATAGAAATTACCTATAGTAAAATTCAGATGATTTTATACTAAAATCCAGGCAAAATACAGGACACTGAAAAGCAGCCACTCAGGAGCAAAAGCTGCCGATGCTTGCTGGATCAGTAGCTATACCCTCTCCAGCTCCCTCTCCCCCTCAAATGTAGACAGTACACCCGGGCCGGCTGGGTGGCGGGGACCTGTCATGCCTGTGCCACTGCCTGGCGTTCTGACTCATGACAGACTCAGGACACCCCAAGGAGAATATGAGTGGTACAATATGTTGTAGAAGGCTCCTTACCACATGTTCCCAGCAGGAATTTCTTAGGGATTCTGGAAAAGATATGGACATGTGATCTTAAAGTAAACACCGAGAAGCCATCAGTGGGCTAGAGAGTCCCAGGTGAGACAGCACGTGACCTTGAGAGGTCAATGGAACATTGGAAACCAGGACTGAGAAGTCAAAAGACACTGGCATGCAATCTTTAGCTGCAAGGAATTGAAAATGTGAACACAGAGGTGTTTAAAGTAAATACAACAGCAGAGAAAGGAAAGAATAGGTAAGGATAATTATTACAGTATCAATAAGCAGCTCATAGTACAATAGTGTGTGTAAAGTTCTGGGGATTGAAGACTATAAAGCTCAGAATAAATGAGAATACAACTTCTACTTATTTCAGAAAATGATCAAGAAATGAATGGCTTTCTGTGGAAAGATGACTGACTAGTTTGGCGTAACCAGTGCTGTCCTGATATTTGGCTTTAAAATTCTCATGTGGAGAAATCCCTGAGTCTGGGAACAACTAGGATTTGGTCACTAACCTAGTCATTGAATTCCAGCAAACCATTATAAATTGCTTGCTAAAACAATAATTTCACGATTTCCAATTCCTTAATCAAAGCAAGGTGCACACATATTTCATGTAGTGTGATTTTAAAAAAATTTAAACCAAGTTCCCCACATGGTACCTAAGCCTTGCACCTAGATCCTAACTGGAGTGAGGAGTTCTGCCTGCACCCTGGGCCCGCCCCCATCCAGCGTGAACCTGAGCACACCTACCTTTGCTGCAACCCCAGGGGTTGTGCACATCCAAGTGGCTTGTGCCGGGAACACAAGTGTCACACGTTGGCCCTGTGACAAATTGCTTACAGAAACACTGGCCTGTGACCAAGTGACAGGTTTCATTCAAGGCTCCTGAGAGATGACAATTACAAGGCTGACATCTGAAAACAAGACAAATAAACCATCAAGGAGAATAGCATTTTGATTAATAATGCATAGTAGACGTTGCACCTATCAATAACAATGTGGAGGGGAAGGCTCTGGTTTAGCCAACAGACTGAAAAGGACGGTGGAGTGAAACACACACGAAATAAAACAAGACACAAGCACTATTTATCAAATGCTGCTCCTGATAAAAACTGCGTGAAGTCTTCCCTTTGAAAGCTAACTGAAGGTTCCCTCAAAGTGTTGTTTTCTTATGTTTTACATGTCTTTATGCATCTTCCGGGTCAGTGTGAATACCAGTTGTTCAATTAATAATACTGTGAACCTTGCTGTCTCACAATAGCTGTACCACTGCCAGCTAAACATTGAGATTACATTCGCCATACAATTATCTTTTCAAGCAACTCTCCAATTGCAAAGCAGAAAATTGGGGTGAGTCAGTCGTTGCTCTCTCTAAGAACCTTGAAATTCTGAACTGGCTTTAGAAAAGCTAAATTTTGTTCAAAGCTTTACGAAGACAGCCCTTACCATTATTGGTGCCATAGCAGGTATTCTATTTTTTTTTATTTTATACATTGCTAAGTCAGAATATTTGGATGTTTATTCAGAATGGCTGGTTTTACTTTTTAAAGAGAATACAAAGTGATAAAAATGGAGGAGAAAAAAAACAATAGAAATGATACTGAATTTCACTTATCAAAATAATAGCAATTCAGCAATGACTGTTGTAGTACATGTTATCTTCAACTGAGTTGTTCAGATTACCAGATAGTGTACTGCGGATTTCTGCTGGTCTATTGAAAGGATCAGTTAATGCTTATTTTTTTCCTTTTCTTTTTAATTTCTTTCTTTTCTTTTCTTTTTATTTTTTACCAGTTTTGCATGCTTATCTCTGGTGATCGAAAGCATTATTCTGATGTGGGCAAGCAGGCTAATGATATATAGAGAATGAGGTACCCGCACGGCAGCTTGGGTTTCCTGGAGCCCAAGGCCTCCGTATGAGAGTTGTGGCCCCTCCCTGTGGCAGATGCTCAAACCAACTTTTTTAGGGTGAGTTGCTCAGACATCAGCCTTACACCAACAGCACTGGTTAGGATCAGCCATCTAGGTACCATGAAGCATAAGAGAAGTAGGGACCGGGGCTTTAGCTTGGTGGCACAGGACTTGCCTGGCAAGCGCGAGGTCCTGAGTTTGATTCCAGGTATCTCCTCCAAAAAATTAATAAAAATAAAAAAGAGGAGCATAGGAAGAGCCCCTTCCCTTGGCTCAGAGCAGGCAGCCCTGGAGGGGCTCACCGACACAATATGACGAAGATGCTGAAGGAGGAGCTGCCTTCTCCCAGCTCAACTTTGACAGTGTGATCTCCTGGGTAATCTTTCAACATCCTTCAAGAGGCCGATAAAAGCCAAAGCTGCCAAATAAGCTGCAAATTTGTTTTATGGACTAATATTCCCCTGGGAATAGATAGAGTACAGTTTCTCCTGAAAATCACCGTGCTGCTGTTAGCCCTTCCTACGGTCACGATGAAAGGACAGTTCCTCCCCCTGTCCACAAGCAACTATATCAGGCCTTCTATCCGTACTCATTCCATCAAAATTCCACTTCAAATAGATGCTTTGTTCCAGGTAGGTACCAGGGCTGAAGAAAATTATGCGCTGAAATGAAAATGAAATTATGACAGCAATGGAATAGTTGGTTTTTAACTTCATTACATGCTATTAGAGTATATTGTTTGTAGGATTTTATTGTAATATTGGTGAGCATAAACAGAAAGAAGCTTCTCTTAATGTGCGTATGTATGTGTACATGTATTTATAAATCAGTATACCACTCATAAGTAAACGTCCCTTGAGTATTTTGGCTTTTATTACCATTCACTCACGAGACAGTCACACTTATTTTGCATACAGTGCATTTAGAGTAATAGTTTCCAGCACATAACATAATTCCTTTGCTTGCTGTAGCTCTATTTTCCTCCAGTCAACTGCTACACGCATAATTCCGAGTAAGCTATGTCAATATCTGTGGGATATTAAGTTCCAAATCCAAATGGAATAAATACATCACTCCATAGGAAAACGTGCAGTGTTTGAGTAATTAAATCAGTCTATTCCTGATTTTATAGCCTCTTTTCCCAGCCATTGCTACATTGAATGTATCTGACTTTTATAATTGCTTAATAACAGGAGGAGAGTTTTCCCAAGCACAATTCAGTGGAGGAGACTTTTCTGAATATTAGAGTGGGTTTCTAGCCCAGAGGATATGAGGCTGATTTTGTAATTAAGACTTAAGTAAAAAGATTTCTTTAAATTTCTCAGCCACTCAAATATAATTTCAAATATTTCCAAGCCTCTTTAGCAAATAAGGCACAAGTTTGATGTCAGTTTATAAGTTATCCCTCCTCCAGCGTACCTCCTAAATGAAATATATTTCACGTTTATTAAAACAAAATTATATGTAATAAAGGAAAAGACATTTTAAGCTTAGAAAGAGAAACACCAAACTAAGATGAATTGTGATATTGATTTTGCCAGGATAAATGCTTTTTGTAATGTTAATATAAAGAAACCTTTATTACACTGAGTCTCCTGGTACAGCCAGAGCTGCTCCAGCAATCTGTTTAAAATCTTCATTTTTCATCCTTATGGGAAAACCTCACTTGCTAAATGGATTTCATAAAGAGTAATCTGTCAAGATTTATATAGATAAACAATTTGTGATGTTTATTGACCAGTTCATTACGATAAACAAAGCAGAAGAAAAGCACCACTCGTCTCTGCCGGCTCACTCTGCACTGTTAGAGTTCTGCTGGGCCTCTGTCTCTGAAATCACACAATTTATATATTTTCCTGGGAGGCTTTTCATGTTGCACAAACTGGAAGTAAGAGTGTTAGCCTAATAATTGTCACTGAAGAAATATAACTATTAATGAAGGGAGCAGCTTTCAACAATGCATATTATTGTCAAAAACTTCATCATCTGAGGGAGAACTGCTACAGGGGGTCCTGGGAGAGGCTCCACAAGGTGCATCATGTTGTTGACATCTCTCTTTGGCCTCCACTCCTGGGTACGGAGCCTCAACGCACAGACTCCCTCAAGTTGATGTTAATGTTGATTGACATAAATAACATTTGCTATGGCTCAGTTATCGCCTGGATTGAAATAAACATGTAGGAACTAAGGGTAAGCACCATGAGCTGCTCCTGCTTTGATCACAATGTACCATGAAAGCATATGTATACACATTCACACAGACGTCCAAACTCTGGGGCACACGGAGGGGTAACCACCAAATCTGGGGGCAGGGGGAGTGGTGAGGAAAGGAGGATCACTTTGAGCGTCACCAACTTGAAAGCCAAAATTAGAAGTGCTCCAAAAGTCAAAACTATGAGGTCAGAAATGGAAAATTCCACACCTGACCTCGTGCGATGTGTCACAGTCCAAACACAGGCACACTAAAATACTGTAAAGGCTTATTTTCAGACTATCTAAAAATATAAAGAAATCTGTGTTTATAAATTTTTTTTGATGTATTAAGTATAGGGTCTACAGGGTCTCACTAAACAGGATTGAGCTTATAGTGATTCTCTTGTTTTCAGCCTCCCAAGTGCTGGGATTAGAGGTGTACACCACCACACCCAGTCTCAGTTGCTGTCTCAGCACACCCTGGGGGCAGGGCCAGCGCAGCATGCCGGGCATCAAACCCTGGTCCCTGCATCTGCCTGAGCAGGTGATTAGTTCACTGAGCTATCTGGCTGGCTCTAAAATCTGTGTTTAGATAGAGGTCTTATTTTCAAGACCTCTCTTTATGTCCTTTATATGCAAGCATTTCAGAGCCCAAATATTTCAAAATTCCAAAACAAATCCGGAAGGGAAGAAAACACAGGAGAGGATGTGAAATTGCAAACCATTCAGAAGTCAGGATATTAATGCAGAATGAGAAGCAGTGATAGGCAAATCTGGGAAGTTAAGAAGTACAGGGTTGCTACCTTGGGAAGTGCTGCGGACCAGGGGAGGAGAGACTCGGATTTCAGAAATCTTTGACAAGTAAGACTGATGTGAGGGGTTGACAAATTGAAAGTGGAAGAGGGAAGGGGGTGGAGTTATTCTTGGTTTTCTAATTTGCTAATATGACAAGGATGAAGATATTATTCAACATCAAAAAGTGAAGGAGGAAGAGAATGCAGATTACAGAGGGATTTTAGACAACGATCATTAGGCAACAGACAAGCAAAAACTTCAAGGCAGATTGGAAAAATTGGGACAATGAGTCTTCTGCCATCAATAGATGCTGTAGCATAAGTGCAGTTATCATGAAGAAAGCACTAAGAAAGCTTTAGCTGTAAGATGGGACACCGGGTATGAATCTAAATGGGACTTGTAGCTCTAATGACAGCACAGAGCATTTGAGTCTGGTCATTGGCACAAGTGTGCCCCTGCTATGCTCACCTCCCAGGAATGAACAGATCTTCTGGAAGCCTGGTCACTGCTCGGACTCCCTGAGACCAGAGACCTCTGGCCATTGCCCTTGCTCAGGCCTCAGGGAGGAGCAGAACTGTGGAGGAGCTTGGCTTCCCTCTGGCTAAGAACACTTTACCTCCACAGAGAAAGTGTGGTCTTACTGAGCTGGGTTGTGGGCCCTGACAGCCAACTAACAGCATCTTCATTTTCTTGGAGTTGGGAAACAAATTCTAGCAGTATTTAGAGTTTGTTCATCAATCTTGCTTGAGCTGAAAAACTCACGTGGCTTACCAAAGAGTTACCGGCAGGTGGACCATCCCACTTAGAAGGGAGGGAAAAGTTAGCAACACCCAAACCTCTCCCTCTTGTGAAGCCTTCCCAGGCATGCGTGTGGGAACTCATAAGAAATTGACCTAAGCAGTGACTCCCTTTCCCTCATGCAGTAGTGACCTCCACTTCAAGGGAGGTGACAATTCTGCCTTGTAGAGAAGAGCTTACTTTGCAAGGTTTGTGGCTGAGTTCTTCACCTGCTCCA